CCTTTGACCTGTATTTCAAGGTGAAACAGGTCAAAATTTTCTATAAAAAAAAAGGAATTTTTTTACGAGAAAAATTATTTATGCCAATATTCAGAAACTACACAGTCATATACTGGCTATCTTACTTTTTCCTTGAAATTGACCATTTATCTATTTTTTACCATGAACTGAACTTTGTAAATTTTCCATCCCTTATAACTTGAAAACTGGCAGAGATACACCCATTGTTACTATTGAACTTGAATAGTAAGGCCACACTTTTTTATTTTTATGGATGACATCCTCTGGGGACCCCAAAATCAGTGCGAGCGCTCGAAAAAAAAAAAAAACTGCTTAAGAAAAGTTATGTTTTCAGTACACAGCTGGAAACACTAATTTACCACAGAAACACGTATAAAACTAACAACATGTCTTTATCCATGCTCTTAAAATATTAAAGCATTGTGAATAGGGCCTACCTCGTAGAAAGCTAAAAAGTCATGAATATATAGGCTATGCTGCATATTACTAAATCTAAAAAAGGTAATTTCGGTAGATGCCATTTTGTCTACTTCTACTCACACGTAGCAGCCAACTATCGGGTGGCCTGTCCGACCTTCAGTCCACTAAATACCACGACGCTCTTGTCGACCCTTTTTTCGGTACAAAAAAACTGGTATGTGCTGCTTTGGACAGAATGTCACTGAAATTTTCCGGGCGATGATCGCTGGCCACGGCCAGCCTTTCGTATAATTGTAAAAGGGTGATATCTCCATGTCCAATATCAATGGCAAACCAATCCAAAACGACGGCCCCCGTTCTCTTTATGACTTTAATTGTCGTGTATTTTGAAATTAATGCTAGATATTAATTTGATGGCAAAGGGGCCATATTTCCACGTGGTGATAATACGCATGCGCAGAAAGCTCGGAACTACTCGGATGTCTCCGCAGTCGACAATGACAGTATGGAGCTTGCGGAATTAGCCGAGGATTGCCGATTGCATTTCTGGCAAATTCAATAACAATGTTTGCGACAACCGATTTCTTTGGGGGGGGGGGGGGGGGTTTTTTTTTTTT